AGAGAGAGAGAGAGAGAGAGAGAGAGAGAGAGAGAGAGAGAGAGAGAGAGAGAGAGAGAGAGAGAGGAAGAAGCTTCGTTCAGATTTAAATGTAAAAAAAAAGCTGTTTTAAGCACAAAGGTTCAAATTTAACCACTTTTTAATTTAATAAATTAAATTTGTTTAAGGTAAAAACACACAACCTCGTTGAAATCAACAACCTTTCATGCCAAAACTTTAAAATCATGACTTGTTTGTCCTCAGAGTATGCATTAGAGAAGACTCAGCTACTACCACACCAAATTTTAGCTCAATAGCTGTAAAATAAACAGGTATTTTGTGTTTGCTGAGGTTGTAACAATCATTTTAAATAAGGTATCATCTGTAGATGTACTGGATGAGTCAAAAATATTGTTTTATTTCAGAAACAAAAGGAAAAATGAAATATCTGGTAACCCTCACCCATTACTTGCTGGGGTTTTCAGATATTTCATTTGCCATTTTGTTTATGAAATAAAAGGGTGTCCTGAGTCTTTTGATTCACACTATACATACATACAGTGATAAATTTCTGAGTTTTATTAAAATTCATCCATTTCACAAAATATTCTGCCAACAGTTGTTAACTCAAAGTTTAAACCAAAATCTTGTGAGTCTGTGTTATGAATAATTCAGCTACAGTCGCATCTATCTGTCAAACTGAGTTATTTCTATTTTTACATTTGATAAGTTTGATTAGCTGAGGTGGCCATCTTGATTCCAAACGTTAATCAGACATGCATCCAGTGATTATTTTCTGAGAGTGTCAATCAAACTGAACAAGACGTTCATGAGATATTTTAGTCACAGAAAGGCAAGACAAACAAATACGCACATACAAGTTACAGTACACAAGCACCTGCCTTTCACAGCWGTGGGTGATAAGCCTCAGAGTCTTGTGCTTATGTGTCACTTTGTTTTGTTGAAGTCATTCCCTCCTCAGAATTACAAGAGCAGTTTCTTTTATGAGAAAATCAGAGAACTCTGTTTGAGAGGAAGAAGGGTCTAGTTTGTAAGGTCACAGAAGTCAAAGCAGCAGCAGGGTCCAGCAGAGTTTGACTCTCTGCCTCCTCACTCTTTGACTATAGAGACGCGACTCTTGAGCTCAGCTTTGTAAAGTCCAAAGCCCAAGCACAGCGGGTGGGTGAAGCTCGTAGAGAAAGTATGGAGGTGGATCAGGTTGTTGGAGGGCCCCACCTCTGAGAAGGTAATAATCCCTGAGCTGTAGTCCACAGCCACGGCAACTCGGCTCCCAGACATCTGGCAGGCGAGGCGCGTCTTCCTGCGGTTGTGCCAGGCAGACAGCTTTTTGTCGTGTTGCTGAGTCAAGCTCCATGACACCTGGGAACATAACATGGGAGGTTTTTTTTAAATCAAAACACAAATTGAAAATGGTAAACAGAAACATGGCACGTCCGTCTACCTTGTTGTTTCCAAAAGAGTTGCCTTCTTTTCCCTTCCTTCCAATGCTTCGGTAGCAGACAGCAACATCCCAGAATCCCTCAGTCTCCAGCTCCCAGTAGTGAGTTCCAGAGGAGAAGGTTTGGACCGTGAGGACCTGTGGCCAGTGGTCGAAGCGTTCAGCATGAGCGGCACAGGGCAGGCGGCTTTTAACACGTGTAACTGAGCGTAAGTCATCAGAGATGCTTAACAGAGGATGAGCCGAGTTTGTGTCCAGAGTCAGAGGGCTGGTTACTGCAGGGAGAGCAGAAACTGAACTGAGCTTTGATACGTGAACTCTGCTCTTCACTGCTGTAGATAAACATAAGGAGATGTTCTTGTACTTCTAATAAACCACTCACAACCTTTTCTCACACAGAATAACAGGATGATTTAAAATACAGGACCAATGACCCCTAAAGATCTTGTTGCAGTCTTAAAGAATAATATCATGTAAAATCAACTTTTTTGAGTTTTATCTCATGTTATAATATTATACTCTCATAAAAACATGCCCAAAGCCTTGCTCTGACTCATTCATAAATGTTTGAGAAATCCTGCAGCGTTTTTAGGAAGCCATGCTGAGGAGCAAAACGACAGGTGGGGACCAGAAACGGTCTCAGGAGCATTAACCCTTTAGGGCCCAGATTTAAAATGTGGTAAATAAACTATTTTCAGTGATTGAAAGGAAGGTTTTTTTTTGGATAGTTGCAT